CCATGGTAAATATAGTGCTATGTTGTAATGATACCTCTGGGCAAATAAAGATAAAAATAATATATGCAGTTGCGATACATTTTTCCCTCATCTTATTTTGGCCCAAATAAATGGTGTGAAAACCACACACTTGAATGCAGCTGAATTTATTAATCACAGTTTTAAAAAATAAGAAAGACTTTACTGCAGAAATCATTAAACATGGGTGTTGATGACTATAATCAGAATCATCCCTACCTGTTTTAGAAGTATATATGTAATCTGAAACCCCGGAATGTATTAATTGCATATGGTAACACATGTCAGTGTACAGCACAAATAATAGCATGGATTTATGAACACTAGACTGAACGGCACAGCTGTGGTCTTTAAATATTGATATTAATGAAATATTCTATAATATTGAGCTGAGTACTAGAACTCCTAGACACTAATGTATAGTGAAGGCACGTTAGGGATATGGCTCTCGAACTGCATTCATTAAAAAAAATAGTTGCCAGCATTCATGGAAATGGATGCAAGTTGGCCTTTTTGAGTCCACTCTGAACAAGAATTGACAACACACAATCCTTGTTCAGTATTTAATGCCAAACTCCATCACTAGCAGCAATCCAGTATTGTTGTACTTTTTGCTACATATGGTAGTGTTATGATGTGATCAGTTAATGTATATGCGCATATTTGTTTGAATAATTGAAAAGTACAACCACAATTCATTATGTAGAATCATTGTACTGAGTTTGAACAAAGTCAAGCAAGCCATCTCCAAGAAACACTTGTTAAAATAATGTGCATCTGTAATCGAGTATGTATGATCCTGATACAAAGCCCACACATTTGATCAAATCACAAAATAACTATAATAATTGTGTGCAAATTATCGATTGAATCTGGCGAAATATTAGCAAGAAATCGGCACAGAAATGATTAAAAACAATATAGCTGCCAGTCAGCCATACTTCATTAAATGGTAACAAAAATTGATGTGCATATGTAAGGCATGGTCTTTGTGTTAAGTACAATTGTGATTGTTCATAGCATTCTCAAGAAATGGCTCTGACGGATGTATGGAACCCAAATAAATAATCTCTGAATTCAGACTTTGTTCAAAATGGAAACTAAAAACAGAATGACAAGCATCAAGTTCTTATCATGTTTAAAGTACAATGTATGTAGTAAACACAAATGAAATTCATCCATATACACCAAGATATGATTTTAAAATGGCAGAAATGATTGATTTTGAGGAAGTTTGAGCAATTAAAATATTTGCCCTTCAGCCATCTTGAATCAAATGATAAAATGAATACATGGTTGCATATTTCCTAAGATGCATGATGTATGTGTGAAGTTTGAATATGATCAGTCCAGGCATGTACATGTGGTTATTTTTCTTTTACTAATATCTGATTTGTAACCCTTTTCATCCCCTCCGGGGGGATGTTGTGTGTTAATAAATAAATAAGAAATACAAGATACAGGTGGGAACACATGGACGCATATTTCCTAAGATGTATGATGTATGTGTGAAGTTTGAATATGATCAGTCCAGGCATGTACAAGATACAGATGGGAACACATGGACGCATATTTCCTAAGATTCATGACGTATGTATGAAGTTTGAATATGATCAGTCTGTCGTGTTAAGCATTTGATCGTTATTATTGAAAACACTGATTATTGTATTATCGAAGCTTCTTAAATACTGTACTTTATATATTTGATTACATGTACCATTTTTTGCTTTAAACCACGTCTATAGACATGTTGGTGACACAAGTGCGAACGTGATAGAAAACACCACTTTATTATGCATTTCTATAATGGTAACTTTCGACCAATGAGGGACATTCCCGCCTAGGGTTCTGAATCCCACCGAGCCTATAAATAGGACGCGCAAGTGTTTTAGCGCCAGTCTTTACCGCGTTGTTGTGTTCAACATTTGTTTACATATCTCTTTATGGTAAATTCTCCGGCATATCAGTGGATATACTGTATTGATGTAATAAACTTCTTTTACGCGTTTATTACTTACGTATTCGTTTCCTGTGATTGATTTGTTTGCATAGCCTGGCATTTCTTACTTATTTTGGATATAACCATAGACCCTCCAGTAGAGGAGGGTCTATGATATAACCCAGTCACGAATCATAACCCCACACAGTCCAGGAATGTACAAGTCATAAAAGTCATACAAAACAAATGGAAATAAATATAGAAGAATTAATCTAAATAATTAGGGATTTAGGTTTAGACAAACAAAATTTGGCATGTGCTAAGTTGGATCCCAGCTTTTTAAATACACAAACCCTGGGCATGTGACAATAATTAAACCATCTTGATTCAGATTGAGTTTGCTAGCGAGAAAGGAGCTAAACAATGTCACTTTGAAATATTGACAATAATTATTAAATGTGATGTGTTAAATTAAAGCTTATGTATTGCTCTTTAATATCATGATTAGATATGCAAATTACCTTTATTTGTGAATGTTTAATTTTTCATAATTGTTATGAAATATCACTGAAATTTCATTTACAATTAATCAATTCTTTCTAAATTATATGGTATTCAAGGATTTTCATCAAATTTGTTCAGAAATTATCTGCCTATAGGAAAGCATTACATTCAAGCTGTTAGCTATGCTTCAACTAATCATCTAATCAATTATGGTGAAGGTTTCTATACTGGGAACGTACTCTTTCTTATCTATATAAATGACATTCTTACCATATCTCCAAAATTCTAAATATTTGCAGATAATTCAAATCTATCGGTATTTTACGATTTCTCAAATAAATCTATACCTACCGAAGAAGTAGAAGATAAATTAAAGCGCGGTGGTCGTCGCGCAGCGCGTGTTCGAATTTCACGTAAATAAACAATGTATCTTACACGCGTTGAGTTGAGTGGCTATGAGTCCCATATCGAACAGGACGCGACGCGACGACTGCCGCCCTTTTAATAACTTTGATGTAAAACCAACACATATAAACAAACAATAACAATAAAACCAATCACACTATTTTATCTGTACATTCACATAAAACATCAACAAGTGCTCACGACATCCACATCGATAAAACTGTCCGCGGGAAAGTTCATATGAACAATTACCTTGGCGTCAATATAGAATTTAGAAACCACAAATTAAGATCCTAGAACAAATTACTAGCATCTTCTTGTACTTCATTTCACATTGGTCATAGCTAGCCACGTCGACCTGTGTATGTTTACTTTAATTTGATGTAATATATTTAACCATTTATTATAAGTGATTATTATATTTGTAGTATTCTTCTTACCATGATTATGCAACATTTGTGGTATTTCTCCACCCCAACGGAGACTTGATAGCCTCGCTTTGATACAAAAAGCACTACCAGCGAACCTGAGCACTTCCTGAATCACACCGGTGAGTTGCGATGGTAGGGAGGACGTTATGAATTCTAATATGGACTAACCTTTCTTACGTTACACTGGATCGTTTCAGGTTCTCAAACAGAAATCGGTGGTATGGTCAGTACAGGGTGCTCGTCAGACGTCACTCACACTGTGTAATCGAAGGACTCATAAAAACAAATCGATAACTGGACACGTCATTTTGTTCGCGTTGCGACTTTTTGAGAGCGCCCTCAACAGACCACTAAAGCGAAATCTTGTTCTAACCATCTACTGATGGCGGACCAGAATACTAGTACAATGTAGTCTGAAACAACAGGAGGTCAGACGGTGTTCACACTGCATGTCATTCCATATATTCAAAATAAAAGACCGTGTTGTAATTATATTCATATAGACCTGTGACATTGTTGAAATGTAATATATGACTTTTTTCGCGTTAATCGGACAGAGGCTCAAAAATGAATGCGAACTTATGACGGACGCAATGTTATGTTCATTTCAAACATCAGTGTACGTTAAAACCAATTTTGACACAAATACTTTCAGCAACAATGATGTATTCTAACACTTATGTACCTGGTCACTGTATAAATCTAATCACATCAACTACTATTACAGTATTTCAGAACATAACATTTTATTTGAGGTATCACAGTAAGTTGAAATATCCCATAATTTGTATTGATTATTAAAGAGGGTTGGAAATATGCAAATCAGTTGTAAGCTATCCACATTATTATTGCAGACCTGAAAATAGTGAATTTACAAGAGTGATGAAAGGTTGTATTCTTAAATGACGTAGTCCTTAAGCTCTTTGCACAATATGACTTATGATATTGATAATAATATTGATATTTCACATCTTCTATTTATAAAACTATTGACAAAATAAAGTTCTACATAAAATATCTATATTTTGATATTCATTATGATGGGGTTGACCATATTGTGAAAAAAATATTGTTTTTTGTAATTCATAAAAATATATTAGACTTTAATATATTCAGTTTTTTAGTAGATTGAAAATATGTAAACAAAAATCTTCAGTATAAGATTTCTGCAGTTGTCCGTTGATGGCGTGGCACTCTCAGGGAACGAACGCCGACCCCCAAATTTGAATGAAAGTAAAATGAAAGTATACAAATAACCGATGTCATGATTAATATTCGTCAGATAAGTCAACTACATCCTTGAGTCATATCTCCCAAGTTGTGTGTACTTGGAAAACTCATTTATACAAACAAATGTTGACATTTTATCCGGACGTGGACCTTGGCGCTCAGACCTTGGTATGAAAGTGATTTCCAAACTAGGTCATGTGTGAAATGCTTGTCCAATGGGAACATACAATTAACTGTGATTCATACGCTCTTGATCTTGTTTCTATTCCCTTGTCTTGGGGGGTCATGACACGGACACTATTTATCTGGCATGTTTGGTGAATGGCGAGTAAATAAATCGTATAATATCATGGAGCATTATCGTGCCAGAACATTTAACATGATTGACTACAATACAGTAACTTTCAATAAAAGCAAACGTAGTGGGTACATATGCCCGATGACCATAACACTGTGTACCATTCACTGCATTACACCTAGATTATTCTGCCGATAAACAGAGGGGCAGGTACACTATTGTAAAGTTTACAGACAAGTTTACCATAGCGGTATTGTATTATAGTGCAATTATGTGATTGTTGCTAGGATTCGTAGGAAGACACACCCATCACAAAATACACATTATCGGCTGCCCCAATTTTTAAAGCTCTACTCCCCCGTTCTACACCATCTTACCTATTCTATACATGAAGTTTTACTCAGTTTTCTGAGAATCTGCATCTCTACAGTTGTTGTCGCATGTTTGTATACTGTACTGTACACAAGTTTATTTATAAAAAAACAACTGACATTGAAAGCAGCGTACTTTGTTCGTTTAAATTAAACCCAAACGTCCATGACACTGCCTTTTCACTGTTTTTCAATACCCTGTCCTGTCACGTTGAACACAACCAACGCTGAATGCTATGTTATTTTGTCTTTAATCACAACAATGGATTGGCACACTCAAATTCAAGGTGCGGGAGTTGGCAGTGTCATGCAGTGAAACTAAATCTTGCGCAGTATGAGGATTTAGTATGCAAGATTTCCCTTATACCATAAGAGTAGATGACTACGACGAAGAGGACATAATTTCCATGAACGGAGGGAGTCGTGAAAGGAGTCGGGACACGAAGGGATATCAACTGCTAAGAGGAAGAGGAAGTGGGATAAGCACTGGAAGTAATCTGATAAGTTGGCTAACTTTATCTCAGTCTGCCAGCGAGGTCATTTGCATATTCTAAAGCCAAGACACGAACTGCGGGGGTTATAACGTGGTTAAAATATAGGCATATATACAATAGTTATTTATAGAGCGAGACACGATGGTGGTTGTACGCACCCTGGCCTGTGTTCATCTACTGGCATTTGGTCTGAGTTTTAATATCGATATTAATCATCCAGTAGTTTTCAATGGACCTGGATTAGCGGACAGTTACTTCGGTTACACAGTATTGGAACATACAAACGACCAAGGACAGTGGTACGTAAAATAACTTGCTTACCAATGTATTATAATTAGGCTGTCAGTGCATGTTATTTGGCTTCAGAGGTCATCAGTAACTCCAAGCAGTAGGCAATGATTTTATGTAGTGCATTTACATCTCTCTTTTTCATGCGTATATGTTTAGTAAAGACCTTTAAACAATTAATTCGATTAATTTTGAATTGGAACTTTTAAATAAAACAATGGAAGACATCCCTTTCCTTAAAATAATAACAAGTTGACACACCCTTTCCAAAATCATAATAACCGGACACGATTGTCTTTCTAAATCATGTCAACCTGACACTTTACAGACTGACACACTGTGGACATGGGAGCTAAGAAAGCACACGATGCGTGTTTTACAAACAAAAATCTTGATATAGTAAAACATATCAAGAATATTGTCACAAATGTTGAAATATACAATGCTGCATTCCTTAGTGAATCAAGATTTGACATCTGGATTTAGTATTCTGTCTACTGGTGTTAGTGACAACAAGTTGATAAGTGGGTTGAACAGCCTTGACTAAGGCTAATAAACATACTGTACTGCAGTAAATGTGCAACAAACCAAATATTATGAGCAAGCATTTTATACTTGTTATTGTGGATTAGGTACAATAATTTTAATTGCGGTTTTGTATATGTATCAAACTGTAAAATTAAGACATCGGTGCAGTTTGTTTTATGGTTATAAATTAACTAGTTTAAGGACCAGTGGCAATGCTTGATACATCCTCAAGAAACTTTCCCCCTGAAAAGCTCACTTAGCACTATATTATAATAAACTAATGCATAAACAATATTAATCTGTATAGAGCACACACGCTCTTCCCTGTTAATCCTGAATTCGAGAAATATCCCAAAATTGACAAATAACTAATATGTGTTTCAATTGGTTTATATAATGCCACCTTCGAAATAAATAAATGTTATTTTTTACTTGTCAGAATTCATCGGAGCATTCACTATAAAAACAATGTTCTATCAGTTTTAGAGACATTTTGCCGTGTATCGGTGAATAATACATAACAGTATGCATTGAACCCGCCATGTTATTTTGTCGAGTAGTTTTTTTATCGATGTTTTTATTCCTCGCGTCAATATTTCACAATTATCAACATTTTTGATCGAACACGACTACTGACGAGACTAAACATAAAACAAAACACGCCAGGTGACGTCAGCAGGATCGAGATTAAAACGAACAAAATAACAAACAAATTTTAAGCAGAGTGTCATTTCATTAAAATGTGCGAATGCCTTTGATTGGTCAGCTAATGTTACAGTAGCACATATTTTAGAGCGAAAACACAAAGCCACGATATTTATAGTAAGGCACAAACTTCATTATCCTTATTACCCTGAAAGAACCACTGTTCACAATGTCCAAGTCTATAAATACAATCATTTTGCCTTAGACAAATTAACAACAGATTGACACACATGTTCTTGGTCCCAGTGAATATATCTAGCATATTTACAAGAAGCAAAATATCATCAGCGTAAAGTAAGACAAAAATATCCATTAATTTCTACGTTATTTAGATACCTAAGTGCCTGACATTTTGTAACATTACTTGTAATAAGTTAATGAAAATAGCAAAAAAGAAGCGGACTTAATACCGGGCATTCAAATTGACAAGTGTCACACTCAATGATTTCAGATTTTTAAAATACTCTGAAGAATGACATGTTTCCTGGACGCCATTCTGCAAACATTCATAAACAAAAGTAAATGTTCACACTGTCAAAGCCAGACAGAAGAAACGTTCGATTTATTCTTTCATAATATATCATCCATTGAGAAAACATTTGTGGGGGAAAACTGCCACAAACAGTATAGGATCTTTAAATCTCACCAGATAGACTGTAGATACATCAAGCAGTAGACGGTATACCAGTGTGCAATGTTCTAATGGTGAACACGCATTTATTCAGTTGTACAGCAACGAGATAGAGCTAGTTGAAAAACTACATACGCTAGGACGATTTGGAACAATGTATCACTTGGAGTACAAAGGATGAAGTCAATTTAAAGACAAGAGTGGATTCACACCTTAGAATTTTAATCCTTGGCGTCAATTAATATGATTGGTTGTTTTAATTGAGCCAATCAGGGAGAACACACTTATGTAAACTGATAGAAATGGCTGAATACAGGCCAAAGTGTGTTTCTTTGCGTCACGAAAACAGCATAAATCTATAGGAAATTTTGCTACTACTACTCAATCTTGATAACATAACTAAAGATAATAAACACTGATAATCACATACAACAATGAAATAAATCCGATAAAAAGAAGTGAAGTTATGGTTAAATAACATGAAAAATATATGTATCCACATGGTAATAACGATTTAACCCAGTACTTCCACGTTCAACGTTTATATTTACAGTGACACTGTTCGATTACGCAACTCTCCAAACCAATCTCCCACACTGTTTTATCTCCCTTTATCCGGATTTTGGTGATGTTTTCATAATACCATGAATCGTCGTGGCTTGAGGCACATAAATTTAACGAACTGTATCTTCTGGTAATATACTTACTTGCACATGGTGAATATACTGCTAGGTTTTATTACGTTTAACGTGTTGTCATGATCAAGAGCCTGGCTTATTTACAGCAAAGCTAACGTGATAGGATCCATAAATGGTGTCCATTTAACGGTTGGGTCGTACTTTTGTCTGGTAATTTCTATCAGTTAATAGCGATAAAGATTAGTTGTGATAACTACTACTACAAAAAGAAAGTTAGTTGTTAATAGGATAAAGCAAGTGTTACATATCAAATGGCATTTTCATTTCTTGATTGAAATGCGTTATGAATATAATTGCCAATCTTTTTTATTATTACATCATCTTTTGAAGTCAACAAGAAATTAAATTTCTGGAGATCATCCTGTGTTTCTTTTGGAAATATAATGTCTTGAATGATTTGTTGGCGTATTACTTTATATTGTGAGCATATCATAACAAAATGCATTTTGTTCTATTTTATTCTGTATACATTGTTTGCTAATTCTATTTTCAGTAGGTATTTTCGGTTGCGTATGTCTCCCCTTTTCTATTGCTAAATTGTGAATACTAGTTCTAAATGTTGTCAATAAAATTCTTTGTTTCAAATTCTACACACCCAAGTATTTTTCAAAGAATCTTTGAATCTTTGAAGTCCTCAGTTTTACTTTTCAGTTAATATATGCACGTAATGTAGTCACCAACAAATGTATGGTTGACGAAGCGAAGTGGGTGCGAAAACAATAACAGTTATTTATATGGTAATATATTTATTGTAATTAGGAAATGAGTAATTTAGCAGTAATGGTGAGACAAATTAATTGCCACACATTTAATATTATCTCATGTACAGTTACAACCTTTGTCCAAGAAGTAAAACGCCACATTCGGTCAAATTCAGTGGAGAAAAACTCTATTTGTTTTGTTTGCAGGGTACTGGTTGGAGCACCACGTGATAATTCAAGCTACCAAACTGGCTTAAATCAACCAGGAGCGCTATATAAATGTAGCGTATTATCGCCGCATGGTTGTCAACAAGTGTTCATTGATAACACAGGTAATTGTAGCAATGTTACAATGCGATTTGCATAAATTAATTTGTCATACTACTCTAATGCGATTTGCATAAGTTGTTGTCATAATGTCACAATGGATTTGCATATATCGTTATAATGCGTTGGCTAAATGACACCTGCACGTGTCTATGCATCATTTGTAGAGATCTAAATGACACCCGCACGTGTCTATGCATCATTTGTAGAAGTCTAATTGACACCTGCACGTGTCTATGCATCATTTGCAGAGGTCTAAATGACACCTGCACGTGTCTATGCATCATTTGTAGAGGTGTAAATGACACCTGCACGTGTCTATGCATCATTTGTAAAGGTCTAAATGACACCTGCACGTGTCTATGCATCATTTGTAGAGATCTAAATGACACCCACACGTGTCTATGCATCATTTGTAGAGATCTAAATGACACCTGCACGTGTCTGTGCATCATTTGTAGAGATCTAAATGACACCCGCACGTGTCTATGCATCATTTGTAGAGGCCTAAATGACACCTGCACGTGTATATGCATCATTTGCAGAGGTCTAAATGACACCTGCACA